AAAAAAAAAAAAAAAACAGCAAGTTGCCCAGGTACACTACTTAAGTCTGTCATCCTACCACTCTGGGAGGCTGAGGCGGGTAGACTGCCTGAGCTCAGGAGGCTGAGACCAGCCTGAGCAAGTGGAAGACCCTATGTTTACTAAAAGAAAAAAAAAAGAAAAGAAAGAAAGAAAAACTAGCTGGGCCTGGTGGCAGGCACCTGTAGTCCCAACTGCTCAGGAGGCTGAGGCAAGAGGATCGCCTGAGCCCAAGAGTTTGAGGATGCCGTGAGCTGTGATTATGCCACGGTACTCTACCCAGGGCCACACAGTGGGGCTCTGTCTCCAAAAAAAAAAAAAAAAAGCCAAGTTAAACTTGAACAATGAAACTATGGGTATAATATGACAGGGGTGTTAACATCACAAGGATTCAAAGGGAAGAATCCATAGAAAGTGATTCTAATGCACAACATATACAAATCTGCATGAACACAGTCTGGACCAACCTTACCAAGTGAGGCCAAGACATATTCTACCAAATTGTCACAATTCTTCATTTGAAAAGAGCTGTTTGCTATTTGTTCTGAATCCTCCAATACATTCTTTGTGGAGGGGTTGAGTGCCTAAATTTATTCCTATATCAACAATATTAGACTGTAATACTTAGATGAAACCAATCTCTGATGTTTTGGGGAGGGTTTGTTTGTTTGTTTTTTGTAGAGATAAGAGTCTCACTTTATCACCCTCTATAGAGTGCTGTGGCATCACACAGCTCACAGCAACCTCCAACTCCTAGGCTTAGGCGATTCTCTTGCCTCAGCCTCCCAAATAGCTGGGACTACAGGCGCCCGCCACAATGTCCAGCTATTTTTTTTGGTTGCAGTTTGGCCAGGGCCGGGTTTGAACCCTCCATCCTTGGTATATGGGGCCGGCACCCTGCCCACTGAGCCACAGGTGCCACCCCTCTGATTGGTTTTTAACAAAGCAATAGACTATTCATGGCAGATGGAGTTAGCTAATTAGATAAGACATGAAACAGAGACTCCTATTAATGTAGGCATTGATTTCTTCTGTCCTACAGATACATATGTTCATTTCTTGGTTAGTTAAAAACACAAATGAATTTATTATTTAAACACATTCAGGAACACATTGATTTCTTTTTAATTTTTAAAGAATGATAGTACTACTCTAGAGTGTAATACATCTAATAAAATTGAGGACAAAAAATTAAGTGCAGCGTTCAAAGACCTAAATTTCTACCAACCCAAAGGATTCCCATGGTAACTTCCTTCCTATTACTAAAAAATACTCACAGATTTAGTGTGCCTCAGAACCATCAGAGAGAAAAACACCTCACAGCTATTGCCAGTCGAGGGGGCTCATGCCTGTAATTCTAGCAGCCTGAGAAGCCAAGGCTGGTAGATTGCACAGGAGTTCAAGACCAACCTGAGCAAGAGCAAGACCTTGTCTTTACTAAAAATAGAAAAACTAGCCAGGCCACATTGTGGCAGTTAGCTGTAGTCCCAGCTACTCAAGAGGCTCAAGCAAGAGGATTGCTCAAGCCCAAGGGTTCAAGGTTGCTGTGAGCTATGATGACTCCACAGCACTCTACCCAGGGCAACCGAGTGAGACTCTGTCTCAAAAAAACAAATAAAACCACATCACGACAAAACAGAGGCAATAATTAATTACATAAGTTCTCTTTATTCCCTATCCTAAGGTTTAAAATGTTCTCTGGTAGCCCAAAGCCCTTTATTTCCATTTCCACATAGAATTTAAACAAAATATCTACCTATTCTTTTAAAAAGCCAAACGTTATTGCAGTTTAATCCCAAATTCAAGTACTGTATATATATTTTAAATGAGAAAAACAGAGATAATACTGTGTTCTCTTAATTCCCAAACTAGAAATCATATAGCCATGCCAGCATGAAGATCCAAATGAAAGCAAATTTCACAGCCATCCAAAAATATATAACTGTCATTGTCAATAAAAGCCAAGTGTGCAACTAACTGGAACCACTGCTTTCCAGCCAAGTAAAAGACAAGTCTAAATTCTTGGTTTCAGGGCATCCCTTAAATGATAGGGACACACACAAAAATTAAATAACTGTTAGTTCATCCAAATATAATGCAAATCGCATGCTAATTAAAGTATTCAGAAGACAATGACAAATAAAGCTTTAGGGCCACAATACATGTTATTATGTAACTACAATACACATTAAGCAATCACCAGGTTGTACTGCAGGCCTTCCAAAAGGAGTTATTATGGTTCACCATGATCAGAGGATTGTGGTGTTATACTTAATCATGCTTTTACCTGCAAGCAGGTGTTTACAAATGTCAAGAAGTAAAACGTTGATTCTAAATGTAAGCTTACAGTTCTGCCTAATAAACTATACAGGAATGGCATACTGTAGCTTACAGCATTTTCTGCATAAAGTTTCTAATTCAACATGAAGTCAACAGCATGAAGCAAGTGTCTCTGCATGCTTTATGAACCCAAATTTTAATTTCTGATTCATTTTCATGAAAATGCCAAAACCCACACACTCAGAACTGGACACTGTTTCAAAGCCTGTAACTGATGAAGTGCAAAGGAGATGATGAAATGGTGAAGGCTCATTTGGGTATGTTACAGTTGTCTAAAATAATCGTCAACCTTGCAACAAAAAAGAGGCATCTCAAAAGCCAAGAGTAAAGGATAACAATACTCGGTCTGTTTTAAAAAGCAAATTACAGAAACCACCAATGGTAAATGTTCATTAAGGAAGTAAACTCCAAATATTCCAATCTCCAAACAAAAGGAGGGGAAAAAAGGGTATGAGAGGCAACAGGGTGTCTGAGTGTCATAAGTCGGTAGATTATTTTATATTATTTCTGTCCTGCCTGGTCAAAAAAAAATCCAGGAAGCCTAGAGTAACATCTTTTTTACGCCCTTGTAAAGATGCTTCCACCAGCAATCCAAGAACCTGACACCCCAGAGCAGCTCCACGAACTCCTGAGCTGCAAAAGTAAGGGCTTAAATAAAAGAACAGTAAAGGCAGGAGAGTCTAAAGGGGTTGGAATTACACTATTGTAATTTTTGTTTTCCTAGGCTGTGCCTGAACTGTCCATGGGAAAAAGACTTTTTTTTCTACCTAAGGCAGAGACCTGCACCAACAGCAGGCAGGACCCCATCAGTGTCAAAGACCAAGTTCTAGGTGCTCCAAGCATACCAACTGCCTTTTCTCCACCTCGGAGAAAATCTCTAGACACACACACAGGAATAAAACGTAGAAAAGGCACAAAGCCACCTCCAACCAGCTCAACCCAAAAACTATCGGAGGAAAGGGACTGCAAGGAAACGCAGACCGAGGTGCCCTATTCTTAGGCTTGTAGTATTCACAGCCCCCAAAGACGGGAGAATTCTGCGATCTGTGAAGGGGTGACCAGGATGGGGACATTCCTAAGTTGAGGGATTCTTGCAAAAGAATCACTTAAGTCCCTAGAAACAAAAGTAGACAGGCTTCACCTCGTTCCCCGCCAAGCTGGGCGCTGCCACCCACCAGCTCAAAGCCCGGGGAAGCCCCTGAGGAGGCCGGGTGGCGGCTGACCCTAGACTTCGCAGGACACACGGGGGATGGGGCACTTACCTCGCAAGCCTTGAGCTTGTCACCATCTCCCTCAGGCAGACCAGTCCGACGCGTGGCCATCATTTCATTTCAAATTACAAAGGGACAAATCCTGTGGAGTCCACATTGGGGGGGAAATGCCACCACGCACCAAAAGGGGAAGAATTCCGCACGAGGCTCCGAGGAGGGGCGGGGCTGGTGAAACAAAGTGCTGGGCAATGAAGGTTTTCACGAAGCCCCTTCAAATGATGGGATTTTTTTCGGACTTCAACTGACTCCTCCGCCGTCTTCTTCCATTTCTGGAGGCTTAAAAACAAAGGCGACAGGTCCGTCTTTGGCAGCGAAGCGTCCAGCCCAACCGCAGAAAGCGATCCCCTTCCTCCCAGGGTCACTCTTGAGTCCAGAAACCCGGGCGGGTCGTGAAGGATCGAGCGTCGGCTCCCAGAGAGATCCTTCCTAGAAGGAGAAGTTAAAGGACATGAACTTTGTCCGGGCGCTCATCGCAGCCTTGCCCACATGCCTACGCCAAGTTCGCGTTTCCAAGGGTTATTCGGCCCATGCAGATGAAACACACAAATCAAACGTACAACAAAATAATAAATAAAACAAGGAAAAACCTATAAACCCGAGGGAGAAAAAAGAGAGAGAGAGGGAGAGACCTCAGCACTGCCCGGTGGTTGCGTCAAACACGCCTGGCTGTGGTGCAGCCCTCAAGAAAAAAACATTCCCGGTTCAAGTGCATTTGGGTGCGTGTATCTCGCAGGCAGCGCAGCGGGGGTGCGTGCTCCTCTGCATCACCCACACGCCACCACTCAGCGCAAGTTTTCTGCCCCACGGGGCTAAAATGGGATCCCACTTTTCCAGACCCCCTCGTCGCTTTCTTTCCACCCCTCCAAAAAACAAACACAAAGCCAGCCTCGCCCGGGACCGGCGCTGACCCGGCGGCGGCTCCGGGCGGGCGGCCCACGCTGCCGCGAGAGCGTCCCCAGCGCGGCCTCTCCGCCCGGCCGGCGTCCCGGAGGAGGCGGCGGCTGTTTTCCTTGGCCCGCGGCGGGGCTGGGTGGGGACCGCCGGGCCGGGCGGGGAGGCGTGCGCGGCCGCGGGTGGGACGCGGGCGCCGCTCCCGCTCCGGGGCATTCTTCCCGGGCTACATCAATGAAGCCGCAGCTCCAGGAACTTTTATTTCGGGGCTGCTCCCCCGACTACGACTCGACTCTGGTGTTTCCCTTTTCCTTGTGGCCACCTTGGGGGGAAAAGGAAAAAAAATAGGAAAAAGAAAAACCACCCACCCACCACTATTTCCCCCGCCCCTTCCTGAGGCGGGTCGGGGGGAGAGCGGCGGCCCAAATATGTCGTTGTGGAAAGGTGCGGGGAGACCTCGGGGAGAGACAGCACCCGGGGCTTACCCTTCCCGCGCGCTCGGGCCGAGCTGCCGGGCGTCGCGGCGGGCAGGAGCGGGGACGCGGGCCGGGCGCTGGGCCCGGCCGGGACGCGCTAGGCCGCAGGCTCGGTTAATATTCATGAGCGGCCAGGGGCGCCCCTCCTCCACGGCCGGCCGGCCGGCCGGACCCCGGCACCCACCGCCGGCCTTTGTGCCCTTCCCTCCTCCCGCCCGCCCGCCCTCGCCCCTCACACGCGGGCGCGGCCCCTCCGCCTCCGCCGGGCGCCCGCCGAGGGCTCCTGCCGGCCCCGCGCTGGGGTGGCCCGAGGTGGTGCGGAGGGGAGCCCGCCGTGAAACCCGCTCTCCGCGGCCCGCGAGCGCGGCGCCCGCCCGGCTAAGGCGGAAAATAAAGCAGACACGCACCGGAGGAAGCGGGGCGAGTGGATCCGCACGGGGCTGGCAGGCTCCGGGACAGCGCTGCCCGCCCGCCCGCGCCAGCC